AATTCTCTCTTCTAGATTTTGATGCATGAAATATATACTAATTTCAAGTATTTTCAAGGTAGGCTACAATAAAATCACAGCCTTACTCCAAAAACATAAGACACTGGGTCAGCTTCTTAATGGATTTCATATTTAACTTCTCTATGTAATACTACCTTGTTGCCTCACATCAAACACATGGTGTCATTTCTCTTTCATACGTGATTCCTAGTCACTCTTCTGCTCATGCTGAACCCCCTGGAGCCTTACCCGGGAACTTTAGCATAATGTACGCTGCAGATACTCCAGCATGACACACGAAGGGGCGGTCATAATCTTCCAGGTCCACTTGGTTGAAGGTTATGTTTACTGTATACCAAATATATTGCTCCAAGGGTACAGAAGATCTAGAAAACAAAGGAGACAGTCATGAATGCATGAATATTATTGTCAACAATAAATGAATCACGTTTACACAACACACTCTGTATTGTTTATTCTGGAACATAAAATTGCTTCCTGGAGAATACTAGGTACTATCATTTTACCCTTAGAAATAGTTCACTGAAGCATGTTGACTGAGTCGTTCAAATGCACGTTGTTCTTCTGAAGAGGGAGCAGCAAAGTGTACTTCTGTTAACTATAGACAAAACCCTCAGCTCTGGACCACAAGGTCCATCTTCTAAAGTGTGCCTGCGTGATCTCAAACGTCCAACCTTCTGATTAGTAACCAAGTACTTAATCATTTCAACAACTACAGACTCTGTGTCATCCAATTACTTACTTAGAATGCACTATCTCTCTTCTATTGCTTTATATTTCTGTAACTCTTAAATGCTTATGGCTACTGATATAATCAGTGTTCCTAAAATGGGAAATACTGTCTCCTGGTGGGGAGCTGGACCAACCCAGGAGGGGAACAAAAGCAAATGCCCATACTTCATTCTGGATTATTGGCTACAGTACCAAAGTTTTTAAGTGTGCTAAAAGGAAAAAAAATTAGGAGACTTATAGGCCAAATAAATTTGGGCACCTATGATAACTAAATTAAAATGGGATGGCTTTAAGTAGAAGTGGAGAAAAATGAAAATGTATTGGTTTGCTTTAACAGCATATGTCCTTAACTTTACCTCACCTCCTTAACTAGGCTGTCAGTGGGACTGAGAGCAGTGAGTACCTCCTATTTCTCTGAACCGGTTGCTTGGCTGTATCCTTACTATAAGCCAGCAATGAGAATGACCCTGAAAGACAATGCTAAAAGGAATGATAAGGAGGCAGGGAGAACTGTGTGTGATTTCTATGGGCTTTAAAAGCAAAAAGAAAGCAACAGAAAGGCCAAGTGAATTCAGATGTTGAAATCTTTGCTAGCTTTGAGAGACACCAAGGAAACAAGACTTACTCATATCCTTCTCTGATTCGTTTGGATTGAGCGTAGTATCGATTCACCTGCGTGTTGTTAACCTTCCAGCATCGTAGATTTGTGTTGTCCCTGAAGTCTGTGATATTGCAGGTCACAGTGAGTGGGGAACCTGTAAAAATCAAATCAATAAAGACTAAATGAAAAGTCTACCAAAAAATGTCCTAGTCAACAAAGACATGTCTTGTTTCTGAGTCTTAATTATCTTTGACTTAACAGAAATACCTTAGGTCAATGTCAATCTACTTTATTGCTCTCTCTCTGACAGAGATCATAGGGACAAGTGGACTTCCAGGATGTTTACTATAAATTGTGTGTGTGTGTGTGTGTGTGTGTGTGAATGTATGTGCATCAGTATATCAGTCCTGGGGAATGTTCACCATAATATCCAGTGCATGCATACTACTACTTTTGGTACCGTTCGCGAAGCTCTTCGGTGGGGCTCGAGGGAGGCTTTTATCAGACCCATTTTGCAGATGAAAAGATAGTTCCCATAGATAGAGTGACTTGCCCAAGAGAACACATTCATTTGGTAAGAAGTGAGACATGAACTCTGATTTTCTCCTTCCAATGATCTTTCCACTTTTCCAATTGTTATTTTCAGCTATTGTCCCTTGGTTTCTTCTCCTGCTTCCACACACAGTCACTCGTTACATTTAATTGATTTCTATTTTAATTTTATTTCACCTCCTGAGTCTAATAAATCCCATCTGTTGACTCCATGCTAAAAAATATCACCATACTTCTAAACATTCGACTTCAGGTTTCAATGGGAGTCCTTTATATGAGATAGCATTTTTAACGTATTATGAACTATTATGCCCTCTGGGTGGGAGCTGACTGGGTGACCCCCAACGTTCTGGTGTGACCTCATTAATGTAACAAAAGAGATCCCAAGATTTGGGTCTAATTGACATAACAAAGCCATTTTCAGACAGCATCTCATTTACAGGTGTAGGCAGCAAGGCTTCAATAAATTTTAGAGGTTACAATTTGAGTTAGTTAGTTTATTGTGCCAACCTG